TACTGTGTGATCGGACTCGACGAGGTGTGAAACGATGGCACTTGTAATAGTTTTAATCACATCAGTGTTCAGCCCGGATCGGATGATGTTCCCGAACGCGTGTAGATAGGCGCCTACTCGTGCGGCCAATATACGTTGCTCCACAGGAACACGTAAACTGGTACACACAAAATGAGATTGCAGAAGCAGAAATCCTGTCTTTGAATTGCGAATACAAGATCGGCCTGGACGTAAATACGATACTTAATTTTGCCGCGTGAAAAGTATTATCCAACGCAGTTCCTAGTTTGCGGCTTACCAATTCTGCGATTATATCCCCTTTGAATGGGAGAGAAACGTACACTGCCTTCTTCTCTGCACTGGAGAGTCTTTCCCTCGGACGGTTATTTCGCAAAACATTCTGGATAGCCATGTTGTAGGAAAACATCACGAATGAATGACAGTTCTGCATTTATGGTGTCATCGGTGCATACTTTTACCACCCTGTTTACCAAACACTGAATAAGACTTCCTTTTCGTTTGAGTGGCACAAAGCTTCTGAAATGGATATACTGGCCGCTCCAAGTCGGTTTCCTATAAATCGATCTCTGAATAGAACCATCTGTGAGACGCTTTAGTCAGATATCGAGAAAAACCAATCCCTTCATTAACCTCTTCTTCCAATGTGAACTTAATGTTGGGATGAGCGGAATTAAATATCCTGAGCAAGTTGGAAACCTTGACGTTACTGCTCACAAAACATAATATATCATCAACATATCATCTGTACAGCATACATCGTTTAATCGTGGACTTCAAAACAATATTTTCTAGCTTGGACATGAATAAATCCGCAAATAGGGGACCGAGCGGGGATCCCATTGCGATTCCATCATTTTGGTGATAGATTTCTTCATTGAACTTGAACTGAACGTTCTCTGTGCGTAGAAGTACAATACCTGTTTCAAGTCATCCAGAGGTATTGCAATTTCGATATTCTTTTCCTAGATTTGGTCACATAAATACTCACTGATCTCAGCGATAGGAACACTAGTGAAAAGTGAGCTAAAATCAAATAACGTGTGTGTCAACAAGCCTCACTGTTTACAATGTTTAGTCGTTTCATTCAGCATGAATTGAATTAGCCTCGAGAGCTCCCACATACATTGGTCGTTAATGACCAATCAGAAACGCCGTGTCGCCCAGTTAAACGAACACACACACATTATTCGACTAGTCGTCGGAGTTCGATAGTTCGGACAATTTAGGCTTTTTTCTTGTTTTTTTCTCTGACAAAATAATGATTTGTCTAGTTTTTTAAATGGGACCTTCCTGAAAAACCCAGAAAACCTAGCTACCTTTGATGAAACAATGACCACTATTGTTGCGAAACGATCATACTGAGAGAAAAAAAACATCACACAAAGACTGAGCACAGGAAAGGTGGTGTGTGATTGCCGCTTGTCCGGCGGGAGTCGTTCATTCATTTGCACATATTTTTAACTTTGGTTGCATTATTATTGTATTATGGATGACTTGTGCAGGCAACTGTCTACATTTCAGTCAAAAATGTGTTCACCGTTACAATTCGATAGAAAAATGCGTATAGAACAATGCGAAATCTAAATAGATGTGCATCTTTGTAGATTTCACATTAGCATCTTACGGATCCTCGCCGTGTCAGTGAGAATACGAGCCAGATAGGGAATCGTTGAGTTGCGATAAATGTTTATGCGCGGCGGGGCAAGCAGTGAAAATTAGATCGGGTTGAAGCGCGTGGGAACGGCATGTAGATAAATTGGGATTGGGCGGATGACTGGGGTCATTGAGTACCTTCTGAGCGAAATTCTTACACGAAGTGATATGCAAATTACACAATTTTGCGATCAGAATGTTGACAGGAATAGGAGACACACGGCTGATAAGTACCAAACCGTGACGTAGAGTAATGAAATCTTTTCTAAGTAGTCCAGGGAAAATAAGGGATGAAAAATAAATTATGACAGAAAAAATGCATTGATAAACATACATACAGTTTCATGCCTGACGAAAAAATTAATTGATAACACAAGACGTTTGTGCTGAAAACTCTCCGAACAGTCCCGATGAATCAATGAATGAGTGAATGTGTACTACATAGACACATTTTTGCGTATTGCTTTAACCATGCTTACTTGCATAACGATTGGCACACAAGTAGGTGACAATTGCTATTCCGACCGTGAATACCGGACGACTCATGGCGTTGTACAGTGCTGCCAACCAGGTAGGCATATCGGAAATCAAACCGCTCATTAACCCGTAGAGACCGTAGACTGTAGACAGGCAGAACGCGGTGGCCAAACCCAGTCCGATCGCGTTGATTGTCACCGCTTGCTTGAATGTGGGTATCTGAAGGCAAAGTGGATGGAAAAGATGCGTGGCGGACTCTCACCAATGATCGAATAGGCGACGAAGAAGTGATATACAGGTGTTGATCAAATTCAGGCCACGTCACTATCATTCTAGTTTCCAATATGGGAGGTGATGGCCCGGTGTTAACGTCATCAAATTATCACCCACCGTCTGAATTTCCCAAATTGTGTGTGAAATTGTAGCCCTTTGATTAGCCGCTTCCCCCTTCCTGAAAATTGTATCTTTGTATATTCAATGAAAAGGAAGTAAAGTGAAAAAGAAAAGAATATCACACGTGTATATTGATGACTATGGATGTAATGTGTTTATTCCTGATCTTATATCTCCTACTTCTATGTTCTTTGATCTCTGTTATCATCGTTTGAATTTGCGCGACCTTGAATGAAGTGATGGTAGTAGTTCTAAAGTTACAGCTCAGATTTGGAAAATATTTTGTTCGCAGCATCTCGGAAATTCATTCTTTCTAATAAATGATTCTTGTTTCAGTTGAAGACACGTATTCTGACTAGCTTGCCTCGTTTCAAGCAGCGTATAGTAAATAAGTCAACTGATAAAAATTGTGTCGCTTAAATAGAGTGATAAACTATTTGGTCACAAACTACTCACGTATTATCCTTAATACGGAAATAACTAAAAATATATTCCAATAAACGCACAAGTTGACCTTCAAAAGTTAACCTTGACATGTGCTACGGCTCGTTGAATAAGCGTTTTTTTTTGTCACCATACCCAAACAGGGTAAAACATTCGACAGTTTTTGGCATATAATACTTGTACCAAATCTATGGGTCATTTTGATAGATAAATTCTATGGCTTTGTTATTCTACAACTGATGCACCAGCAACCCATCGTTCAAATGGAGAAATCATACATTTTATTGGCTCTCAACTAATAAAATCAAAAACATAATACGTTGTTGCATCCGATCTGGAGCAATATCATATTCAATCCCATGAATAAGACTCGAAACACTAAGCGTTGGGAGGCACATATGTGACGAAAATAGCAGGATTTTTGCACAAATTTGGTCAACACCTGTTCACGTTTACGAGTGAAAGGCTTGGATTGAACTAACCACAAATCGAATACTACAAATCTTGTAAATTGTTTCCATAGACATATTTAAAATGTTCCACGAAAACCATATCAGGGATAAATCGGTCTCATTTTTCACAAATTTTGAATAAACATGCTTCTGCACTGTACAGCAGAGACATTGAATTATCTATATGATTGGATGTGATGTAGCGTAAAAGCTGACCGGTACCAAAGGGTACGGTTTTCTTAGCATAGTTATGAAAACATTTACGATGTCAAATATTTGAATAGCGAATAATTTGTTATTGAATCAAGTCTGTCAATGCTTTGGCTAATCAATTTCGATTGAATTGATACATCTTTAACCTTGATTTGACAAAGAAAGGATTGGAGAAGGGATTTTAGAAAAAAAAGGGGGGGGGAGTTAATAATAGTTTTAAAAAAAATTGATCTGAAGGAGGGAATATGTGCGATGGTACTGGATTTTGAACATCCGATTAGCGGGTTGATGTGACGGCGACCTACGTCTCATGATTGAAGTGACATTTATTGCTTTGCATTGTGGGGAAGTTATCAATGATATGGTTCGGTAGATATTTACACACGCATTGGATTCGAGATCCGGCAAATTGCATTCCTCGGGTATGGAACACATTATTCAGGACAACGTGTTTGACATCTTCGAACGTCGCTGTCCCCATCGGATTACCGGAGTCTGCTGGGGGTAACTGGACGAGTAATGCTGAGATAAGGCGTACAGTTTTAGGTAGTAGACCTCCATTGATTACGCTGATCGGGACATGTATTACGCATGTCACCAGGTAGGTTGCCACGGCAAGCGATGTTCGCCGAGGCAGATGGCGGATGGAAAATGGCCAAAGGCGGTCAAGCTATGACCTGACATGAGGGTATAAAAATCCTAACCGGAGATTGGGTCACATAGGTCCCGTTAAGCTCCCTGGCTAGGGACCCCGAGGTCATAGTCACCAGTGGTTAGAGACACTGAACGATATGGTTGGGTGTCACAAACAGTGGCGCTCGTGCATCCACTCATTATTCTTGCAACCTCGGTCTTCTTTTATCTTCCGTTTGATTCTGCTTTCAAAATGCCAATCTTCATCCTGCTCTCTTATCCAAATTGGCGACCAAAAGACAGCAACCAAAACCGGTTCACGAAAGTGCATGGTTAACGGTTGTAAAAACTGAACTGAACTGAACTAGTTGACGTTCGATATATAAAACCAATAGTGTCATTTAAATCAATTGTAAGATGGATAGATGGATATTATCAACGTGTCAACCAATTTGCATATTGTTTTCTGCCGGGGCTTCTAAACAGCGAATTAATTTAGTTTACCCGGAATATTTTCCTTTCGGGGAAGGAGTAATGGAGTGTGAAGTTGACTCCGGAAATCGGCATCATTTTGGAGGAGAAAGACGAATAGAATAGATAGGGGACTGTTCATAATTTTCGCGTGAACTGTTACATACTGCAATTTGATGAATGCCAAAACACCGTTCTTTCACGATATTTGCGAAAATATGAAATTCATTCACACACTTCAGAGGATGATTGTCAAAAAAACTGCAAAAGTAGCTCATCCTGGCTGTCACGCGGCAATTTCAATATATATTCTCTTTTACGACCCATGCGAATTCACAGACTCCAGACTCCAGAACACGTTAATTACCCGCGTCCCGGATTCGATCCCGAGTTGGATCGATAGATTCGCACACTGCATGGATGAGACTCAACCAGGTCGAAACAGCTATCCAGTGCTTCCTAGCTTTTCTTTCAGCCCATGCCTCACTTGCACGACAAATTCATCAACTAAACAAATGAGATGCACCATTCCTATCCTATTTCAAAGTTCCTTTTTGTTGCGAGCCATCAATACAGATTTGAAGTTGTGCGAACTTTAATGGTAAACTACAAACTGCAATAACACATTCGATAATTCACTCCACTCCCCGGGAGTGCAACTCACAAGGCAGAATAAGAAGCAAATTTCACAAACGGTGAGATATGTATCCCCTCGTTTGAAGAACGCGGGGATATGAAGAAACACGCTACACTTTGTTCTCTCTCGGTATCTCATTCCGTAGAGTAATACGAAAAACAGATACTCCTCCGAAGAAAAGGAACACGCACAAATTCAATCACCCACGAGGGGACCAAGTATATGTGATGTGCTTCGATTCCGTTCTGTTCAGGATATATTTTATACTTGCAAACTCCAGGTGACTGTCTCCACAGAACACATGCATGCTTCATGAGAATTAGGTTATCACTACTAAATCTGTTCTCTATCAGAGGATACGCCCTTTTTCTGGCTCATTGATGG